TCGAAATAGGAGAAAACAAGAAAATTAGGAAAATAGGAGAAGATTAAGAAAACAATATACCGTTTGGAAATTCTGCGTCGGGGTGATCATGTACAGACTTATCGACATGAAAAAAAAAACAGATTAGAAAAAAAGTTTGTTACGGGGGACCAGACACATACTCAACTGAGAGATATTTGGCTTTACTGCTTTGAAACTCCTGGACATGAGCGTACACTGTAAAAGGAGAAAATCAAACAAGAATCACAAAAGGAGAGTGCCGTGGAAGAAACAATTCACTCACCTTCCACAAGCTCTGGAGACGGTGAGTTTCAGAGTCGCCGTCGTCATGGCAATCGGTACCGGCTTCCAAGTCATTTTCAGGTGCAGGAGGAGATTCAACCTGAGGAATTGCAACATCGAGACCAACAACCTCCAGATCTCCCGGAGCCCTTTTAGATGGCCTCACCACAAATTTGCACATTGACAAACCAGTTGGTTGGATTGGGATAATTTCAGAATGCACAATTTTGAGAAGCTAACTCGCTTATCTTTCTGAATAATTAATTCTTCGTTTGTCCTCTATTTATACACGCACGAACCAAGGTGGTGAAAAAGACATTTTTTAAATTTTTGAATCACCAATGTTTTTAGAGACTCAGTATTGCAGAGGAACGTGTGAACTGGAGGAAGTTGCCTCGAAGTTGCCTTTTTAATAGGAACACTTTCTCTTTGTGGTATTCCCCCCCCTGCTTGTTTTTGGTCGAAAGACGAAATTCTTAATGATAGTTTGTTATTTTCGCCAATTTTTGCAATAATAGCTTATTCAACAGCGGGATTAACCGCATTTTATATGTTTCGGATTTATTTACWTACTTTTGAAGGACATTTAAACACTTATTTTGTAAATTACAGTGGTAAAAAAAGCAGCTCCTTCTATTCAATCTCTTTATGGGAGAAAGAAGAAGAACAAAAACTTAATAGAAATTTCGGGTTAGTACCATTATTAACAATGAATAATACGAAAAGAG